AGGTTTTTTTTTTTTTTTTTTTTTGGTCTACTTGGTTTCATGCAGCCAATCTGGAGAGAGCAGTTCTAAGATGGTAATTGTTGTACCAGTGCTGGATGATCAGTTCTGTGACAACTGGGGACAATGATTTAATGAATTTTGCTTCCTTAAGAAGCTGGGATAAATTGCTTTTGTGTTTAAAACAATATTAAGTTTTAAATTGTTTTTCTTAGTAGCTTGCAATGTAAAAGATTAAGGTGGCTATTTAGAACAACCAAGGCACAGAATATGGGGGTACCCTGATGCAGCTGTTAGTGCTGGGTCATAGCTTACAAGGTAGCTTCTAGCTTTTACTTCATTCTGTGTGAATGTACTTGTGGATCAAGACAAAACTTAGTATTTACGTGTATCTGAACTATGGCTTAGATGAGAACAGCTCATATTCTTTAGTGACCAAGAAAAGTGAAGATGTAATTTTTTAGCAGTTGAAAATAAGATACCTGTTAACCTTCACCTCTCAGTGGAGTTAAAGTTTAAGTTTTGTGGATGTTTTTAGGTTGTGGGTTTTTTTTAAATTGTTATTCTCTTGTAGCCATGTCCAGATGTGTTTTGGTTTCCCATATTTTCTGACACCGCCTGTGATGAATTGGTAGAAGAAATGGAACATTTTGGACAATGGTCTGGTGGAAAACACCAAGTAAGTATCAGCCTATATAAACATGACCTTAAGGAGTGAGTACATTTATGATAAGTCACAGCGTACTGCAACAAACAAACATTCCAGCAATTGCTGGTGACCCAAGACAGCTGCTTCATTCTTAGTTTAGTCTACCACGTAGCATGCTGTTTAGTAGATTTAGAGGCATTCCTCAATCAACCTTGAACTACCAAAATTCAGACACCAACAGGGGTGCAGTTACTGTAGTAGTTATTCAACAGCTACCCAAAGCTGATCTTGGATAGCTGTTGATAAGTGTTCAGGGAAGTTTTACTTGTTTACCTCTTCAGTACAAATCTGTCAGACGTCCCCCTAAGCAGTTACCCACAAATGTGATGATCTATTGTGTTTCTGTTTGCAAAAACTTCAAGGTATTCATTAACTACTGCTAAAATCAGAGGATTATTTATCATATTCACAAATGTGGTACCTTGGAAACCAGATAAATTACAGCCATCATTTTACTGCAGGGAGAAGCCTCCAGAAGGGGTTTTAACATACTTTAACTTCAAATTGCTTCAGTATCTATTACCATGTCAAGTTGAGGCCTGTAGTCTCTTGATCTGATACAACTTTAGATACATTTGCATCTCAGTACATAAAGGCATTCCTCCAGGAAGCCCTTATTTACAGGGAACACTTCCAAATATGGACTCACCTTTTAAAATATTTCCAATGTTTTGCTCATTGATAGCTCAGCAAGTTTTTTCATCAGCAGTCAGCTGTGAAATCACTGTACAGTAGGCTCACATATGCCGGCTAAAGCATTGCTCTGTTGCAGTTTTGTGATTCTGCAGATTTCAGATACGTATTTGTCCAAGTGCCAGAAGTGTTCCATGTCCGTATTTTAAGCCTACTTATGGTGTTTTCATTAGGACAGCCGTATTTCCGGAGGTTATGAAAATGTGCCAACTGATGATATTCATATGAAGCAAATTGGACTGGATAATGAATGGCTGCATTTCATAAGAGAGTTCATTGCACCAGTAACGCTTAAAGTGTTTGCTGGCTATTACACCAAGGTATGTGCTTAAATTTTTTTGTAGACAATTACTCCATGGCATGAGTAATTCCAAGCATTTTATTGAATGTACCCTATTTGATATGGCTGGGGAGTTCAGACATGATGAAACAGTGTATGTTGTTGTTAATGAATGTTGTTGTTAACTCAGCTTTAAACAAAAAAAACCTCCAAGAATGCTGTGTGTAACTTGACAGTTCACATGTTAAAGTCTGACTGTATATTTTGTTTCAGGGGTATGCATTACTGAATTTTGTTGTAAAATATAGCCCTGACAGACAACGGTCACTCAGACCTCATCATGACTCCTCTACATTCACAATCAACATTGCTCTTAACAAAGTAGGAGAGGACTTTCAAGTAAGTTGACAACTTATAACTTAAAAAATGTCCTTTGAGTGACTAATACTGTTTCCAAACTAAAGCCCACATGGATGTACTTAAAAACCATGTTGAAAGGAAAAGAAGTGCATCACAAATTGAGATATATTATTTTTTGGGCTTTTTTTGACAAGTACTGAGTTGCTTGACTGCAGGGTCTGGAAATGTTGGTGCAGTCAGGCTGAATTGGCCAAAATTGTTTTAGATAGTGGGGGAGAAGAGGTTTAAAGAAAATTTTGGAGATGTTAGCCATTTAATTTTTAACATTTCTGAAGTGCTTCATTTCAGTACAGTGAGAACCAATTTTTCAAAATACTTAAAACAGTCTCAAGTTGACTCAAATGGCTTTTATTACTTTACAGCTTTTTTAATTATTCCTTTTTAAATCAGCCTCAGAATGAGAATTTTCAACCATTGTTCCTTTTTGGTGGTTGGTTGATTTGTTTTTCTTCTGAAATAAATTAATTTCTACTCTGATACTGATTCAAATAAAACAGTCCCCAGAGTATGGAGGTAGGAGGCCAGGCAGTGGCAGTAATATCCAGCTTTAACTAGTAGAGAAAACTAACCTGTTTTGTTTACAAATCTATATTACTCAGAGTCCTACTTAACACCCATAAGTGTGTTTCTCAAACTTAGTACTTTAGAAAACACCCTTTCAGTTTGAAAGCAACAAAGAATAATTTATTTAAGATTTGTTTACATGCTGTTGTAGATAAGGATGCAGTCCTGGAACAGGCCCTATGAATGTAATATGCTTCTCCCTGGTGTCATCTATAGTAAAATTATTGAAGATCTGTTTGCCAGAGTTGCTGCTTGAATAAGTTGCTCTAGGGAATGATAAAGCAAAGCAAGGGGAAATCTTTGATTGCAAATGCATGTCTGTTATGTATTGCTTTGAAAATGGTGTCATCTAAACCACCTTATTAGTAGGGATAGTCAATAAAAATATATTGTTAACAGCCTATTAATAATAGCAAAATATTTTAAGATGTGGATAAATCAAAAGGAACTTACTCAATTAAAACAGAAGGTAAATGTCTGGGGTTTTGTTTTGTTTGTGTTTTTGCTGCAGGGAGGTGGATGTAAATTTCTTAGGTACAACTGCTCCATTGAGTCTCCCAGGAAAGGATGGAGTTTCATGCATCCGGGAAGACTTACTCATTTACATGAAGGACTTCCTATCTTGAATGGCACAAGATACATTGCAGTATCATTTATTGATCCTTAATTTTATTTTTTTTCCCTCTTCAGCAGTGTTTGATTCTTTACATAAACATTTATTTATAGATTTCTTCTGGAAGATGGTGATAAAAGAAACTTTTAAGTTACTGTTCCTAGACAGCAAAGGTACTTTGGGCTAAAAGAAAGAAAAAAGAAAATGTTCTAAAGTTGTTGAAGACTTCTCAATGTCTGCTCTGAGCCTTGAGTCACAAACTAAACATATCCTGCTTATTTTTTTTCCATTCTGCTGTCTTAATGAGAGTAGGTAAGGAGGGAAAATGGAAAAGCATTTTATAATTAACCCATTTCTTTTGTTGAAAAAGTCCAAACAACCTTAGATACAAAGTTATCTGAAAAATTTATTGTGGTTTTCATTCAGTAAACTGATACAGCTAAAGTTTTTTTGGGGTGTATATTTGGTACCAACCAATTCAAAACCACAGCATAAAAAATAAATAAATCAAGTGAAGCTCATATATACGGTTGTTAAGATGAGCAGTAATTCCATTTGGTGGTGTATACTGAAGGGAAAACATCTCAGTAACCTGTTTTCTTAATTCATTTTCAATATTGAAATGTACACCTTTTAGAAGAAAAATAAGTTAACTGTGGAGATGGAGCAAGAATTAAATAATTTAGTGAAGAAAAAATGGTTAGACATCTGTTTAAAAAATTCATCCTGTTACCCTCTTAAAATTTACTTTTCTTCACCAAGTGACCTTCATTTAAAGTAAGTTATTTTTCTAAATGTGTAATTGCACCCAATTGATACTGGAAATTTGAAGTTTATTTTCAGAATGCTGGTAAATTTTAATAATAGTCTGTTTTATACAGATAATTTTCTACTCTTACTTAAAATTACTTGAATTTTGTATCAGGAAAATGAAATTGTGGCAGTCTGTCTTTTAAAGCTAAGGGTCTTAAAGAAATCTGTTTAAAATATTCCTACTGTATCTACTGTTTGTAATTTAAAGAAACTTGAAGCAAACTGTCTCAAAGTCTACCATGCCAAAATGCACAGTGTGTTGGAAAAACTTGTGAAAAATAAAGGGTAATTTTAAATTAATGAACAGCTTTTACTTGACTGCGTTAGGTAGTTTCTTTGCATGTTGCCATTGTTCTTACAGAAATTATATTTATTGATGAATATTTGAAAAGAATTGGGTGTATATATATATATTTGAGGTTTATCGTAAATGTCACTTTTTGGCTTATGTGCTCTGTTAGTATTGAAGTTATTTCTCATGTGAGTTTGTGCCTGTGTGCATTACAGAGAGTGCATTACACTGTCAGAACAACCTCTGCAGGATGGATGTTTCTTGTTTTCTGTACCAACCTTCCATTTTTATGTAAAGGCTTTTTCATGATCTAAACAGTAGTTCACTTTTTACCTGCTAATATTTGAAGAAACTTTGTATCATGTTTCCTAAACAGAAGCTTTATTTGGAGTTAAAAGGATTGGGAGAGGGGTTCAAAGATTATTGTTACCAAAAATAAGCATGTCTGCTCACTTCCCTATTCTGCTGTTTTGAGAAGTGGGTTCTAACCGTACTTAGAGTTACGCTGAAGCAAATATATCAAAATGTGGTAACTTCAGTAATGTACTAAAGTGGGATGGCTTGAAAAGGAATAGGTTTTCACAGGAAATTCTTTGCTTCCTTTTCATTTCTCTAGATGTGTCAACTTTTCTCCATTTCAGGCTAATATTTGGAGGTTGATATCCCCTGACTTTGTTTCCAGACACGGAACACTTCTGCCTTAGTGGATGCCTCTATATACATAGCCTCAGATTTACAGATCAGAAAATCCTCAGGCCTTCAGAATGAAAGCAGCCTTTGTTAATTATTTTTTTTCTGAACATTTGCCTGTGGTCTTTTAGAGTAACTCAGAACAGAATAATACTTTTACCACTGGATCAGTTACAGACAGTTTACTGTTGTGAGCATCTTTCTTGGAAAAAAACCCCACAAAAGTACAATACTGTAACGTACAGGGGAAATTATTCTGCAGAATTTTTTGCATAACTTGTATTTTAATTATGTTTTTTTTGGTTCTCAATCACATTGCAATTTTTGTGTATTTTTTGCCTCAACATATATCTGGGGCATTTACTTTTAAATTTCTGTCTTTGCAATTTTTTACTTTGTCATGTAGTGACATGTAATGCCACGTTTATTGTGCTGCACATTTGTTGGAAGGGAAAAATGTGTTTACCATTCTCACATTGCTAAAATTCTGCTTTTTTTTTCTTTTGATGAAGCGTTTGCAAAGGCTAACTGCTACTTTTCAGGGGGATGGCAACATATATGGAAATGTCCTTGTTAATTTCTTAAGAACTGACAGCAGAAAAAAGTTTGTTCTGAACAGTTCACCCAAATTACTTCTGAAAGCTTTGCTCTACTGGTAACGTGTGAGTACGTGAGCTCAGATAGGCTAAACAGAATTGTCACTACTGGGAAATTATTTTTCATTTTCATTACTTTTAAAAGCACTTAGACCTCTATGTCTGCTAACAAAGTTTGCTTTGAGGCATAGAAGATACATGTGTTAGGAGGAAAGCAACGACCTTTAATTCCAGCAGTGTATGAGAAACCTCGGGAGTACAGGGACATAAAGGTGTTCTGCAACACATGAGGCATTTATAAAGTACTTGATTTGTTCTGCTTTCATCTAGCTCTATTTTTCACTGTTAAGTACTTGAAGGGACTGTCGTGTGGGTAAGGGATGGGAGAGCAGTATATCGACAAGAGAATTTCTTCGTATTTTTAACCTAAAGGAAACTGAGTATAGCTTGGTTATAAAACCATACTTTGTATTCATGAAGTAGTCTGACTCTGATAGTCCTAAAAAATCTTCAAGGCATTCAGTAGTATTTTACATATTTATTCTTGTTTAACATTGCTTTGCAACAAGTAATTCCAGTATGTATTTGTCACCTCAGTTTTTTACCCGAAAGGATTACAGTTCCACTCTTACTGTGAGCTGATAGGAATGGGACTGTGAGAAGCCCAGAAAGAAGATAGATTTTTTTTCAGCGAGGCAATAATAATGAAATCTATTTGATTGTGCCTTTTTATTTTGTAATGGGTTTTCCCCCACATCTACTGTATTCATGGAATTAATGTTAATTCAGTGCAGGGCTTTCTCAACAGCTTCTCTTTTGCAGCGTGTAAGAAATAATGTTGCAAAGACATTTAAAGAAGTGGAAAAGTCTAGAAAAGACCCTTATAATTCCTTCCTCCTATGTGCACGTTCTAGTTTTGCTTTGTTTTTTTTGCTTGAAAGAATTTGTTCAGATTTTTCTTTACAGCTACTACAGTGAGCTTTTTAGAGACTATGCATTTTGATTTCCTTTGATTTATTTATGATTCAGTCGCCAGTGGATACAATTCTGAAAGAAGTTTTTTTTTTTTTAGTCTTCACTTCCCTAAATCCTCACTTTCATGGATGACAGAGTAAACTGCTTTGCTGGTTTTGTGAGTGAAAGAGAACACAATACTTGTCTCAGCAGTCCCCTGTGTCTGAGGTGTCAGATAAATTACTTGAGTATTTTTTTTTATAATTATGGGGTTTTTTGATTCCATAGCATTGCATGAATTAGGGGGCAGGGCCTTTATAAAGTGCATTTGTAGAGTTGATATTGGCAGTTCTTAGAGCTGAGATTTGCACTAGCAGAGTTAACTGTAGAGTTGCAGGAATAAGTAATTAATTTATTACTGCCAGGAAGTCCCAGTTCTGTTTCTTCTCTTTAGCTGCTGCCAAGAAAGATGGTCTCTGACAGAAAGTTAGTTTCCAGCCAACACTAAAATTGAAATGAGAATTGACTGTGCAGGATTTTGTTGTGTTAAAAAGGTAGAAGTGTCACTTAAATGGCTTTCCAACATTGTTTCCCACAGTTTTCCTGTATCTCAGTGTAAGAAGTTACTCTGGATCTAATGAAGCAAATAGTCCTGCTCAACAGTACCGAAGAACCTTGTTCCCCATCGTTTTACATAGCTTTTAAGATCTGTAGAAATACACCCCATGTGTGGGATGGTGGCTGTCTTTCAGTGCATTTCAGGGAGGCCGAAGGGGAATCAAAATGAGGAGGGAGTGGGTCAAAGCTTAGGAAAGCTCAAAATTCACCACACAAAATTGCTTCCTTCTGTAGCCATTGGCAGGGTGCTGTGCTGTGTGTTCCTGCTGCACCTTGATCCTAAACTAACAGGAGGAGGTCTGGGAAGCAGCTCATATCCTGATGTGAGACTAAGGCTGCTAGATGTAGAGATGATTGTCACTTTTCTCTTGGTAATTTATTGCTTTTGGAAAGCTAGTTTTATGGGTTGAGCTTCACTTCAGCAAAGCTGTTTTGGCTGCGTGTAATGCAATTCCCTTCAGGATTATTTTGCACAAGAATCAAATGTGAGACCAGTTATCTGATAAAAGTGTATTCATTTTAAGGTATTTAATAGATTAAGGCAACAGTTCAAAAGGAGAATTTTGCTCAGCATGGTTACAGCTTTAGTGGTGTCAGTGCAGCTTTAGAAGCAGCAAAGCTGAGAGCCTGGCCAGCGTGGAGGATTTTGACCATATTGCGTGCAGCGCTTAGGGGTGATGCCATGCCACCTAGGTAGTTGAGAAAACTCTGTTTTCTTGAAAAAGCTTGCTTGTGTTTTGGGTCCTAAATATTGTTCCCTCTGCGCTTGCGTGCTCCACTTACTACTGGTTTACAGTTGTTGAATGTCTTGGGGTGCATGTGGTTGGCAAGGGACATGCATAGTTGCATAGTAACAAATTTATTCAGGAACTATTCTTTTGGCTTGAAACCAAAATTATTCTATTTCCAAGAATTTTGCTTTGTTGTGAAAGCAGTTGCTCAACTACTAATGGCTTTACACCATTTTATTTCTGCACTTTTTTGGGACTGGGGAGCAGAGAGAGGAGGATGATAGTGCAAATTTAGTGTAAGCTACTTCCTTATGGCATCTGTAGTACAGACAGGGCATGAGAACACTGCATTCTTGCAGCTTCAGTTGGAACGACAGGTAATGTGAGCAATACTTTAAGCCCATGAGGTGGTTTAGAATGCTTAATACCTTAAGACCTCAGTACCTACCCCTGAAAGTGGGCTTGACAAACACTTCAGGCTTTAAGCTTTGTGAGACTTGGGTCATTAAGCTCTTACCCCATACAGTCATCCACTGACAAGTTTGTGACAAGGAGGTTTGCAACCTCACTGTTTTCCACTTACTTTTTAGTAATTTTCAGTTTTAAAGCATGTTCTTATAGGCATATAAAGTCAATTATCTCCTCCATGTGATATAGCAGCAGAACTAGCAGAATAACTGCTCAGATCTTTGTTACTTTAAGGAACAGTGACTGATAACAATTGTTTTTCTGCAAGAGGAAGGAGGAGAATCTAAGTGCTGTTCTTGGTATTTGAATGACAGGTCTTTCTCCATCCTCCTGTGG